CCCCAAAACCCCAAAACCCCAAAACCCCAAGCTTTGAAATATTGCTGGAAGAGTATGATAATTTATTGTCATTAAACATTAAAATTAAGTTAATTAATAAATATTGATTAGCATATTCAACCTTATTCAGATCTCAGTATACTAATTATCATTCCATATCCATATCATCATCCTATTTCCCACTCACATTAGTAGTGAAGAGTTCTTTTCTAATCTCTGGGGTGATTAGATAATGAATTTGAATCTTTAGGAGTGCTTTGATCTTAGCTCTTTGAGACTCATTTAAGCTGTGTTTATAGGCTGAGACAAAAGTCATGAGGGTTTGATGCCACATTACTGGCATTTCTGGAATCTTATCTCTTTTTGTCTCGTCTTCATTATCTTCATCAGGGAGTCCAAATTTACAGAAGAAGTCAACTATCATATCTAATGCAGTGGCTGGAAGAGCATATCTTTTGCCAATTAGTACCTTGATAAAATACCCAGTTCCAATATTGTATTCCATTTCAGTCAGTTTAATGAGAGCAGCACTAGAGTGTACACTTGGAATACTGACTTTAGCAAGAATACTTCCTATAATTACTGCTTCTCTGCTAGTAGCATCCTCTGCCATAGGTAGTAATAGACCCTTGAAGAAGGCAGCTGGCTTGAATAGCGCTTTCTTCAGTGCCATATACAAATGGTAGTTCAGCTTTTTGTAGGTCATAATGTTTTCTCTTACATTTGATAATAATACTAAGTTATAGAATCTCTGAGTCATCTTTGAATTCAAATTACTGCAAAAGATCTTAGTTGCTTCTTTAGTTGAGACAGCTGACCATTGCTCAGGTTTTGTTAAGAACAGTAGTTCTTCCCAATTAGCTACCTGTGGAATAACTTTAAACAATTTAGGTAGTTTTCCTGATTTATAGGACTTGAGAATGGTTCCTAGAGACTTATAAGCAGCAACAAGCTTAGGATCTAGAGTAGATGCGACTCCCTCTTCTAGGTCCTCGTATCTCATTGGTTTCTTAGATTCTTCCATCTTGTTTCCATCTTGGAATTGGCCAGCCTAGAGTTTCTGCATAATCAAATCAGCTAAGTTGATGCTTTCCTCTTATTGAGCCTTTTTCGCTCCAGCTTTCTTCTGATTTAATACCGAGAGAAGCTTCTCATCATTCTTAGAAATCTGCTATTGCTCATCTGGCACATTGAAATATCCATCCTTGTCGAAAACATCCTTCTCATGTTCATCTACATCTTCCCAGTCATCATCATCCTTCTTATCATTCTTCTTTAATAGTTTTCCCTTAGATGCTAATTTTTCTGCTTTCTTGAGCTAAAGTTCCTTCTCTCTCATTGACTTGCGTTCTTTAATTTTCTCCATTTTCTATGCCTTTTTCATTCTGTTCTATCTGTCAGAATCTTTCTTAGAAATATTCTTCTTGACGACTTTCTTTTGGTTGAACTTAGAATTTCTTCTATGATTCTTAAGGTTTGAGACTTCTCCTTTTCCCATTATTTAATACTTAATACTATTATTAATTGAGCTATAAATTTTTAATAGTTTAATAAATTATAAAAATTTAAAATGGGTGAAAGAGGGTTTGGAATACGATCAAATGTTTCGAAACAAGGCTGGGAGAAATCAGATTTCCCTATCCTGTGTGACACATGCATGGGTGACAATCCTTATGTCAGAATGACAAAGTCAGAGTTTGCGAGAGAATGCAAAGTTTGTTCCAGACCATTTACAGTATTTAGGTGGAAGCCAGGCTCCTCGGGTAGATACAAGAAAACTGAAGTGTGCTGCACTTGCGCAAAAATTAAGAATGTTTGCCAGACTTGTCTATTTGATTTAGACTTTGGACTACCGGTAGAGCTAAGAGATAAATTTATTGAATAAAAGGAGTTGGTGGCCATGCCTAAAGACTAAACAAATAGAGATTTCTGGGCTAATACAATGAATTAGAACATCGAGAAACTTGAGCTGCCTTACAAGAATCCTGAAGTCTAGGAAGCATTGTCACATGTTGCTAAAAATCATTTGCCAAGCTACAAAAGAAATCAAGCTCATGTTTGTACATTCTATGTGAGAGGAGAGTGCAATAGAGGAGTGGCCTGTCCTTATAGACATACAAATATAACTGATGAAGATCTAGAGGGAATGAAGAAAGGTAATGGATCTATAGATTAAAAGATAAGAGATCGTTTCCACGGAGTAAATGACCCAATTGCTAAAAAGATATTGGATAAGGTTAAGGAAGCTAATCTTCCAAAGCCTCCAGATGATTTAAACATCACAACACTATTCATAGGAGGGGTAACGGATGAAACAGTAGATGACAGTACTTTGAGAAAGTTGCTTGAGCCTTTTGGGAAAATTAAAGGCATTAAAATGATTCATAGACAAGGTTGCGCTTTTGTAAGTTTCCACATGAGAAATTCAGCAGAAAGAGCCATTGAAGCAATATTCGATAGGTTCTTCATTAATAATAAAAGACTCAAAGTCTTATGGGCAAAGGCATAGTTAGAAGCTGGAGGAGATAAATCTAAACATCAGCACAAGGGTGGAAAATAGAATCCTCACCATAAAGAATAAAAGAAAGCAAATGATGATGAACTTCAAATTGAAATCGAAGAAGAGACAAAAGATGATGGAGAAGTTATCCAGCAATAAACATTCTAAGACTAAGAATACATAACAGAGTAATAAGCTTAGAAATATTAGACTGAGCAAATTAAAAAGGTTGGAATCACTTAAAACGAATAATTGAGGAAACTAATGTTTAACTATGATGAAGAGGAGGAGGATAATACTAATTAGAATGATAGAATTACTGCAGGCAATATGATCTCTCAATAATAATGAAATTAAATATTAAAAGACCTTTAATTAATTTTTAAGATTATAATCATAAAAGCATTTATAGCTAATGGGGTTTTGGGGTTTTGGGGTTTTGGGG